ATTTTAGTGATTAGGAAATATGTTTGCAGCTGTTTTTAATTGCCTAATTAATGTAAAAAGGAACAAGAGGCAGAGTTAGGCTTGTTGCTTACTGTAGAGTGACCCAGGAGTTTAATGTGCTTTATATTCCATTATGCCATGAAAATGTTTCTGTGCCCTGGGGATTTCAAAGAAAAATTTACTTTAATGAAAGGAACCAAATGTGCTTCCAAAGCTTTCAGACAGGAGGCCTATATATTCTGCAGTTTACATCAGAAGTGTCCACCTTCTCTCTCAACTGCATCGAGATAGGGAAGATGTAATCACAAAGGCTGAAAGCAATTACAGTAAATGTTGGGAAGAGAAGGACATCGAGTTTTGAATGTCCCAAAGCTGGGCTAAAAGAATTATGTTTAAAGTAAAGAAAATGTCAGCTACAGTATGATTTTTCACTGAATGAATGCCAGTCAGTGAACCTTACCTTAATGTAGAAAATCGGCTGTTTTTGCTATAATGCTTTCAACTGCACATGGCTAAAATCAAACTCAAAATAGTACAAAGAAATGCGTTTCGGAAAATAACATGTCCTAGAAACTCAAAGACACATCTAGATGTAGATATAGTTGAACATAGGAGTTCCAGAATATCAGCAGGGCTCGCCCTGTCTCCCACCACTCAGCCCTGCTCACATCTACTTGACTTTATGCCACAGCAAGTCTCTCCTTGTGCTGGATGGCCACTGGGAGCCACAGAATCATATCTCCCCAGCTTAGAAATTCCAGAGAGAGGAGATAATGTTCCCATTTATCTCTGAAAGAAACATCTTGAGGAAGATTATAATTGGCCTAGATGAGGTCAAATGAACTACAAAGGAAACAATCACCTGCTTTGCTTGACCTGGGACAGATACCTCATCCCTGGGGCCAGGAGGATAGGCTAGATGTCATCATTTCTCAGTTTGGGGAGAGAAAGGTCTAATATTTTTGCCAGATGGAAGGGAATAGGACATGGAGATATGAAAGCTATAGCTTGCTGCTACTGTAAATGCCACAATTATCACCTCCTGCCTTGTGTCTATGATCATGCAGTAAGCTGACCTGTGAGATCATTTTCCCTGTCAATAGCCTTGATATGTAAGATTGAGAAGCAAGTTGCAAAATAATACAGAAGTAGTCTGAATATAGGAAATTAACTGGACTAGTAATGACCAAAATAGCTATGTGAAAATATATTTTAAAAGTTCCCACAAACTCACCAAAAGTTCAAAGTGGGAGTTGGAAATGCAAAGACAGTTTTGACAAGAGCAAGTTTTTTTCCAAGCTAAACAAAAAAGATTACAGACTTTTAGAAACTACATTTTTAAAGAAAAAACAAATAAAGAAAATGAGGCCTATTAAAATTAAGAGATTTATTTAGGGTAACTTAGCCAATCAATGAAAGGATTGAAACAAGAACACACTGTATAATTCAAGTGTGGTTTTTGAAATCTATGATACAACCTGTATATATGTAGGAAATACAACACTTATAATTTGTTAATCTCTAAATGTTCATTAAGTTGAAGTAAATGTATTCATTGCTCCAATTATTCTTAAAGAGAAAAATGCCCAAAGACATAACTGGACGGGTATGTATACATGAAATACACATGGAGATATCTTCAAATATAATATGTGCATGTCTTCATTCCTTTCCTCTGCTCTTTTTAAAAATGCCCCTTTAAAAATTTCCTACTCACCATCTGTTAGGTAAATTTCCTAGAACACAGTAAATGTGGAGGCAGGGATTGTTATAGAGACTATTCTGAATGGCAATGACACCTATACTTATGAAATTATAAAAAGTATAGGTTAAAGTTATTTTTTTAACAAATTTCACCACTGTAGTAATACCACACCACCTATGTGCTCAGCTCTACAGGATTACATAAGCTGGAGAGAGAAAAAAGGGAAAAAAAGCTAGGTATTTATGTATAAAATGTTATCCCAAAAGTTTGATATTCACATTCAAGCTTCAATTAACAGAAGGAAAACACTGACACATTCACTAAAGCATTTCATTTATAGTACAAGGTCCACAGACTTAGATTTGCATTATTCTCCAACAAGGGTAGAGTTGACCACTTTTTCCGTCTACTTCCTTTGGGAGGAAAAAAAAATCCACCTGAATCAGATGCCATTCAATTCCAAGTCTACAGCTTAGATCATGTCACTACACATGAAATATTATTCATTCAGAGTCAGGATGTAGCAAGAGTAATTTATACTCTCGGAGTGTTTGCTCTCAAGTCAATAACAGAGAAGCCTTGAATAAAAATGTTCCCATTACTTTCTGCTATAATATATCTTACTTACTCCCCATAAAACAGTGGTCAGAGAAGATTTATCTAATGGTTACCATATTATATAACCTCTCCACTTTAAGCCATCCCACCTCTGTGATGATTTTTTTAAAAAATGTTACTTATAGTCAATATTAATTTATATTTAATCTTTCTTAGCATTAGGAGAGTATTAGTTTGCACAAGCTCGGAACAAATCTCCAGAAATTCCTCCCTGATGTTTCTTTGAGGCTGAAAATACATTGCAGGGCAGTTGCAGTGATTTAATTCTAGTTGGCAGAGCCCTGGCCACATACTAATTTCTTTAGCCTCAAATTTCTGGATTGATTTGAAGACCCACTGGATATGATTCCTGTCCTCAGACATGTCACCTACTAACCCACTCAGTGTGTAAGGAGAGGAGAGGAAGGGGACTTGCAAAGCTCGTCTCTTCAATCTGGTATACCAGCATGCCCATAAAAATTCAAAGTCACAGACACTATTTATATCTCAGTATTCATTCTTGCCCAGGTCCAAATTTTGAGGGAAGAACTTCATTCCTGGCTTTGCTGGTGGCAGCAGCATTTGTTACATCTATTACCATCTCATTTCTCCCTCCTTCCCTGCAGTGTTCAGCATCCCCATTTAAGTCCCTAAGTATTCCTTCTCCTAGCCTACAGGCTTAATTTACTACAAATGTATATCTCAAGTGATCCGTTTGGCATGATCCCTACAGCTACCTGCAGGGACCAGAGGAAAAAAGAAAACTCACTGGAGAGCTAGGAATTCAATCATTTGGAGGAATTTCTTTTATATAGGACAATCTTAATTGAACTGAACCTTGGAATCCCAGAGAAGATTCACTACGTCCTTTTTCTCTCCAAGAGTGCCTTTGAACAATAGGTATGTGTACCATTATTCTCTGTATTCATTTTGCCGGCTTATGGAAACCGGAAAAGTGGGTACTGGAATTACATGACAGGAGCTTCTAAGATCACATGCCAAAAGGGCTACTGGAAGAGATTGTTGGTATACAAAATGCAGATTCTAACATTGGCAGTGATTAACCAGGACACACACCAACCGCTTTATCTAGCTTGCATGCATGCTAAGCTACAAGTTGGTGCATTTCTCAGACTACCAGCCTCTTCTCAATAAATGCAGGTAAAAACTGGAGGCTCTTTTTTCCTCAGCTATTCAATCCAACATGAATAGCTGCAATTTACAAATTAGAGGAAAATGACTGTGTTTTCTTTGGATGGTTTTAGTCCCAAGCCAGAATGCTAATGCTAGCGTTGGGTTCCTTTCTACTCAGTTCAGGGAATGGAGAAATTAGTGTAAGGCCAGCACTGCCCCTCCTTGTTCCCCCCTAGCAAGTTGCCTCAGGTTCACACAACAGGAGGAATCAGCTCCCCCTGGAATCTTTTTCAGCAAACACAGTCCCTCAGCCTAATCTGCAATCCCTTTCTTGACTTTAACATTTCACTCTTTTTTTCAGACAGAGACAGACTCATCTGCAGTACTGCCCATGTTGAGTGAAGAAACAGGCAGCAAAATAATTTTAAAATTCTAAACACAAAATATTTTGTGCCTTTAACCCCAGGGGCTAACAGGGAAAACACTGTAACTTCCCCCAGCCCCCAGTGGTTCTCAGGGAATGTCTCTGACCTCACCGTCTCCCACTGCACTGCTACCTCAACTTGTCTAGCTTTAAACTCAAAGATGAAGGAAGCATTCTGGGTTTCAGCTACAAATCAAGTTCTTCCTTAAAGCAAGGAACTCAGAGTGATGGCTAGCCTCAAAGCACTTTTGGATTTGCAAACCTTTAAGGATCTCCATGATAGAACTCAGAAACTGTCAGGGATGCTCAGAGGATCAGAGGGGTCATACAAGCCGCAGCCTAAGATGAGCACTCCTCTCTCCGAAATGCAAACTTCACACTCCTGGAGGTGATGTGGTGACAGCCCTGGGTCTCACAGAGTCCCCGTCTGAAGCCCAACACCTTTCCGGGAAGCACTTGAGAGGGGCCGGTTCTCTACATATGAGGAGCATAAACGTGCCAGGATCAACGTGTACATCTGCGGAAGAGATTAGCTGGGTTTGGGTACCATCAGGCAGGGAGAGAGCCGCTAGGCATTGGGAAAGGGTCATATTAATACTGAGAGGAACCAAGAACTTGGGAGTGAAGACAGAGGGGAAAAGGAGGCAAAGATTGAAAGGGAGGGGGAGAAAGCAGCAAAGGAGACAGAGACAGAAAGAGAGAGTGATGCACATATAGGGAGACACAGAGGAGGGAACCTACAATCACAGAGACCCTGAAACTCAATTTCCAAACCCCAAAGCCACTCATTTCTATTCAATGCAGATCGGGAGCCGTGGGGCAGAGGCTGCAGGAGCAGGAGGCAAGAGAACACTGCGGTAGAACCCACCGCTCAGCGGCCCCGATCCGCCTTCCTCCCATTTTTTCTTAGTCGCCCTCCAGCACAGGAGCCGGAGGACCAGGGGGCCCTGCTCCACGCACCTCTCTGCCTCTCTGCCTCCCAACGGGCGGGCGCCTTCATGCCTTGCTCCGGGAATCCTCCTCCAAACCGAGATTTGGCTTGGGGTCTGCATCAGGGAGGTGGTGGGTGAGCGGGGGGGGGGGGGGGGGGGGGGGGGGCGGAGGGAGGAGGCAGGGAGAGCTATTTGTTTCGCAGTTAGCATGAGCTCATCCCTGGGCTGAGGTCTGAAGTGGCAGGAGTGGAAAGCTGATCGCCCAGCTCAGCTCCGGCCAGTGGCCGGATCGCAAATGCAATTTAGACGGTGCAAAAAATTGCCCGGAGCAAACCAACTGAGGGTCACGTCTGCGGGCAGCATCTCTCCACATGAGGAAGGTCCCAGCACCTCAGGACCTGGGCTCTTGCAGAGGCTGGCTACAGGTCAGGAAATCAACCCAAGGGAAATGGGGACTTAATATCCACTTCTAGGTGAAGACCAAGCCCTCGATTTAAGAAGTGCCTCCTTAAGGTCCTCTCCAAATTTTCCAGGGGAGTGCAGGTTTGCAGGCTGGCTTGGGGGTGGTGGGAAGCTGGCGAGTTGGGAAATGCCCGGTTTCCAGGCATCTTCTCATCTTTCCTATTCCATTCCTCTTAACTAGCTCTCCTAGGAGCCTGGCACTTTCACAAGCCTGTTTTCAGACCATATTTCACTGTAATGCAAACCCATTTAAATCATCGCCTTGTTTTTCGCAGATTGCTTCTTGTAAATGGGGCCATAAATCCAGGATGTCAAGCCGGATGGAGTGGAGCGTGGACAGGGGAGAGATGGAAGGGAAATAAACCAAGCAGGGAAGGTATCTCCTTGGGGGAGAGGGGGAGGGATTCGGCAGGATCTCCAGGGTGGAAATGAGCGAAGGCTGACCTGACCCGAACCATCAGAGTCCAAGCGCGCTTTTAGGGTTAAGGGCGCAGGTAGCCACGGTGTGCTCCGCCCCGGAGGGAGCGCCTCCCTACCTGAAAGAGCCTCAGGATGTTGGCTACCATGATGGACACCGAACTCCCCGAAGCCCCAATCACTCCAACTACTTTCTCCGGCTTGACGAAAACCGGGGGTTCACCGTTGGTGCAGCGCACGTCGGAGGTGTCCTTCTGGATGAGCGCCTGGACGAAAGTGAGCGACTGTTCGAGCGCGTAAGTGTCCCTGGAACAAGTGTCCAGGATCCGCGCGCCCAGCGTCACGTTGGGCAGTAGGTTGGGATCACTGTTGATCTGGTCCAGGGCGTAGAGCATCGCTTCCAGCCTGTGGATCCCGTTCTCCCTCTTGATGTCGCCGCAGGGCACTCCGCTGGGACCCTTGGCGTGCACGGGGAACAGCCCCCCAAGGGTGACGTCCCCCTCGATCCGGATTGAGTGTGGGGCGTACATCTCCTGGCCGTGCGCCGCCGCCGCCAGCGCGCACAGGAGCACCTCCAGCACGCAGCAGGGGAACTTCATCAAAGTCAGGACGCGGAGCAGCTTCCTCAGCTGGACCATGCTGCTCCGGCTGCTGCGGTGGCGGCGGCGGCGCTGGAGGGGAGGGTGGTGGGCTCACCGAGGTCCGGGTCCCTCTGGGCGAGCTCCTCTGGGAAAGCCCGGGGGCTCCTCCAGGCACGAAGGGTGGGAGAGTCCGGGGAGGGGCCACCGGAGAGGGTGAGGGGTCCCGAGGTGTCTGCCAGCCTGGGGCGCCTCGCGCTCTCTGGTTCGCCGCCGGCCGGCGTGCTGCGCTCGCGCTCACCAGCGTGCAGCTCGCTCTCTCCAACAGCCCAGCACTGGGGAGAGGGCAGGGATTGCTATCGCTTTAAATGGTCGTTCGGCTCCCTCTCCTCCTCCTCCCACTCCCTCCCTCCCTCGCTGGCTTTGCTGCTCTCCCCACCCTTCCCAGCGCCCGCCCTCCCCACTGGTTTGCATCATCACGCAGGGAGGGGCTGCGTGCTGAGGTAAGGGGGGAGAAATGGGTGGGCGGCTGGGGAATGGGGGGAGGTTTCCTCCGAATGGGAGTTTCGTGGTCCCCAGGGAATCGGGATTGTGAGCTGGGCTTTCGCCCCCAACTCACTGTTGAAGCCTCTGGCCTGCCTGCACCCACACCCACGTTCTGGGCATGGGTGTCATCAGCGACGGGATAGGGCGAGGACGTCGGGCTGACTGCTCCCAAACCCTAGGTCCGGAGCCTAGGCTCTTAGCTTTGGGAGAACCCGAGGGAGAGGCAGAGAAACCAGTGAGGGAGGGGTGCAGGAAGACCCTAGCTAGGCTCTACTCCTGAGCCGCCTTGCTAGTTTTTGCTAAGAAAGCCACACATGCATACAAGAGCCTGATTCATGACTTAAAGGGGGTCTCCAGGGCCAGGCGCTGAGCTTGGCTACAAGGAAACAGAAGCCAAGAGGAGACATCAGGCATGGGAGTGCATCCTTGGTCTTCAGTGGTCACTCTAGCCAGAGCTCCCTGAACGGATGCGTTTCCCCAGCACTTCTGTGTCGGAAACCTCGGATGCATCCCTTCTCTTTTCTTCTTTGCAGAGATGGAAGAACTGAGAACTCCACAGAGTGTACTTTCTTCTCTAGTACTGACAGATTTAAGACTCCCTCCTGTTTCTAGAGCTGTATCTGGTGCACCTGGTGACAGTTTTTGCTTGTAAGAAACTGCAGGAAAGAGATGATGTCAGGAATAAGAAAGGGGGGGGGGGCAGGCAGAAGTGTCCCCATAGATTGGGAATGCCTTTCTCTTTCACTGGCTGGGGTTTAGGGACAATGTCAGGATGCCAGAACAGGTTGCAGTGCTATTGAGAAGCTCTTTATGAAAGGTGCCTCCTCCTGCAGGTCCAGATACATTTGGCCTATTAAAGCAACAAATGGCTCTACTTCTAATACAAGGAAAGTGATTGTCTCTGTCCAAGGGGATGGGAGTGGACTTGAGGAAGTTAAACCAAATCATGCTGAGGCTTTCTGTTGGCGTGTGGCAAAATCATATCATACAGACATTAGGGCGGAAAGAAAACCAGAAGCAAGACTATACTTTTTTGTTTCTGTTGATGATGTAATGAAGAAACGTATCATTGTAGGGAGAAAAAAAAAGTCAAAAGGCACGTAATTGGTTGTCTCTGCCACCGAATAGTTGTGTGCTCTCAGCACTTCTGTTCCTCTGTCTGGGTTTTAGTTTCCCCATCTGGAAAATGATGAGATTGAATTGGATGATCTCCAAGTTATCTTTTAACTCTCAAATCATCTGTTAAAATAGGTCATGTCCCTTTGGCCGTGGTGCTGTTTTTAGGCCAATATTTTCTACTGTAGTATGTGTAGACCAGTTTTTGTATATCCAAAGAACACTATGAAGATTTCTTGGTATAGAAGGATTTTTTTTTTTCTTGTTCAGCATCTATTCGTTTTTCCTGTCAGGGACGTTCCATCAATTCCTTTTTGAATATGCCCTTCTTGCTTGTTTAAATGTTTATGGTTTCAAGAGAACTGATCCCACTCCCTGTAAGCAAGTCTTGGCTGATCAGAACATCAGATCCTTCTGGCTGTTGTGATGTTCCAGGATGGGCAGTAAGTCCAATCAGAGCCATTCAGGGATAATCCTGGACTTTTGCTGGGGCAGCCAGGATGGAGGCATAGGGGTACCATTATCACATAGGTAATCTCTGTTTAAGTCAGATAAGAAGGGGCCCCTTCTACAAAATAACTTTATTTCTTTTTTGGAAAATTATTGTGCTATTCTGATTTTGTCAAAACAAGATATTTTGTGTCACCTTCCAGAAAACAGTGCTGTAATTAATATACAGAGCTACTCTGTGTACAATGTGCCTACGAATCACCTTCAGACTCAATGCCTTGCTACGTAAATACACAGGTTGAATTACCATATGCCATGATGGTCCCTGCTCCTTCTTGCATGTCGTGGAGCTGTGAGAATATAAGCCTGAAGTTGTGCCAGAGGCTTCCACAAGAACAGGGAGATATTTGAACCCCAAAGTAAGAGAGAGAGAGAGAGAGAGAGAGAGAGAGAGAGAGATACAGAGATAGAGATAGATTTAAAAAAAAATGTGAGAGAGATTGAGGCTTAATTAAAACATTTGCATTCCTGGATCCAGGCATGCTTTAAGAATTGCCTCTGGACTTTTTAAATTATATAGCACTTACTTTCTGTTTGAAGCCAAAAGGATCTCCTTCTAATTCACCTGTTACAATACACAAGATCTAAAAGGTTAGATGGCTGAACAGATATTCTGTAGGGCAGCATCAACTCATTTGGAAGAAGATACAAATAAAGCAATAGAGAGGCATACTTGGAAACACATGTATTACGATCCTAGTATTTAAGCATTAGCACCTAAGGCTGTCTTGGACAGATACTATTGCATCCTTATTTCATTTTTAATTCCAGTCTATTTATTACAAACTTGGTGACAAAAATATTTGGAGAATTGGAGTAAAAAGTAATGTCACTTGGTTTTTCACCTGCACATGTCTCGCTTCATACTCTGTGCTTCCATTTTCATCTCCCATCCAATGATTGCTCAATAAATATTTCTTGGCTGACTGTTGAATGCTGCCTTATTCTGCCTCCTCTCTTTGCTCTGCTCTTTCTCCCCAAACATCTGGCAGCGATCATTATCTTTCCTTTATTATTGTCATCTGAGTGCATGTCTTATTTCCCTTGCCAAGTTCTAAGATCCTTGAGGGTAAGGGCTGGGTATTATTTATCTTTTTATTGGGACCATGTTTCAAATGATGTTTTGTGCCTAAGAAGTACTCATGTGTTGAATGATTCAGAACTGGTTTTGCCATTCTCTACTGCCTTTATTTGACAGTGACCAAAACTTAAAGTGGGAAGAGCAGGAATGCAACAGATAAATCACTTCCCTCTTAGTTGCTACAGACAGTTTCTAGAACTTAAAGATAATTAGTAAATTTTGAAGTAATTTCGTTTTTTAAAAAAATGTGCAGGACTAAAATATTCTAACCTTAAAAAACTTGCTTAACTCTCAGGTAAAGCTTTGATTGGTCAAATTTCCTGAGTCCAATGCTCAATGAGGATTCAACAACTGTGGCCATGCCCATAGGCTGGTTCAAAGAGCTCAGAAGCATAGACCTATTTTCTAGCCAGGTACCACCACCTCTTAAACTACCTGGAAAGAGAACTATGTTACCAGAGAAACTGGAAAATGATGCCGTGCTTGCAAAATCACTACAGATCTACTACATATGATTTATAATTCGTATTTATACCTTTTGCCATGGCATAGGATCTGGCACTTGATAAGGAACATGGTATTTTTGTTTTGTTATGTTTTCTGAGATTATATGAATTGAAAATCTCTGTGTAAAATGGGTTTATATAAAACAGGGCCAGTCTTTGTTCTAATGTCAGATTTAATTGGAGGAGAACCTAGTTTTAGGCACAAAGATTGTAAGCTATAAAATGTGTTCACAGGCTTGGTTCTATTTAGTAATCAATCTGTCCTCACTCCTCAGGGGTTAATAAAAAATAACTAAACTTAAGGTCTCAGTCTTACTTCATATTCTTTTTTTTTTTTTTTTTTTTTTTGATCATCTTAGTTTCACTTATTTTCTTTGTTGTTCTGCTGCCTGAAGATGTTCTACTCTTCCACATTTTCTGCAGGAAATGATGTTTGCACTTCCAGTTCACACTGTATTTATATAAATTCAGTTTGTAACATACAAATGTGTCTTCCTTAACCACTGCTACTTATGCTATGGCTGCTAATGCACTTTGGCTCTTGGTCTATCCTTATATAATCTTCATCTGTAACTTTTCGAAACACAATCTCACATTTTATTATACTTTTGAATGGAAGTTCACTTTACCTTGGCGACAGATTCTATTCCATTTTCATCTGTTAAACTTTTTTTGCTTTATCTACTTATAATAGGTACCTTGTGTCACTTAACTAGCATCCGTTCATCCATTTTCTGGTTCCATTTGTTAAGAAACCTTGGTATTGTGCAGATAAATTCACTCCACAGATCCTGCAATGGGTGGATTGAAATTGCTTCCTACTGGTAACCCTTTCTTTCTTTCTGGTAGTTCATTTAGGAATTCAAGCCAGTAACATCTAGGGAAAGGCTTGATGAGGCTTTCTGAAAGCACTTCTTGCCTCTGGCAGGATTGTGTGTAGATATGAGACCCAGGGTTATTGTAGTTATTTCACTAGTTGCATGAAGATGAGTTCAATACACAGAGCTTCCCTGCACCACTAGATCAAATCAACCCCAATGCTTCCTCTTTTGATTTCCAGTTACATAAGCCAAGAAATCTGCTCATTGCATAGGCAAGTATTAGTTGAGTTTTCTGTAACTTGCAGCCAAATTCATGCTAGGTGTTACTAAAAGTATTTATATTATTAATAAATAGAATATGAATATATATTACATTAATATTATACATTTTATATGAATAATGAATATTACCAAAAGTTCACATTTTTTCATGTGCTTACTGGGCACCAGGCATTATATATATATCAGTTCTCAAGATAACCTCATTTGATATATATCAATTCTCAAGATAACCTCATTTGATATATTATTATTATTGCTATTTTATAGATCAGAAAATGGAGGCCCAGGAAGGTGAAAAGTATAGTTTGATCAATATGCTGTCATTTTTTATTGCTTCTTCAGTTTATCTGCCTTACCATCTTGCTACCTTGAAGCTCTCATATCTTTTTTTTTTTTTTTTTTTTTTTTTGAGACGGAGTTTCACTCTTGTTACCCAGGCTGGAGTGCAATGGCGCGATCTCGGCTCACCGCAACCTCCGCCTCCTGGGTTCAGGCAATTCTACTGCCTCAGCCTCCTGAGTAGCTGG